GTCAATCTCGCCTCCCTCCTGAAGCCTTCCCAAATTCTCACAACTCCCTTCTCCTCCCCAGAAACCCTGCCCCTGTGTGTCTTATGAGGCATTTCTTGTTTCCAACAGTGCGGGAGGCGACTTGGGTCCACGCAGCCTGGTCCACAGCACATGACCCTCAACACCAAGCCACACTTAGCTGTAGGTTTGTGCGCCCCTGCCTGCCAACGTTTCTGGAGCAGCCTGAGCGCACGGGCCCCACTCACAAAACATGGCCTCACGTCTGTGGCTCTTGTCCATCCATCACACACAGCCCTCTATGCCCCCAGGCCAGGCCCCCACACCCAAGCTTGCCTGGCATTACCACAGATACCACGCGAGCTCAGTCCTCAGGTCCTCACCCAGACTGGCCCCTTGGCCTGGAAGCCCTTCCCACGTGATCTTCTGGAAGCCGGAGCTGCAGGCCTCATCCACCATCCCTCCCCCCCGCAGCACCCTGCACACCACTGAGCCTGCCCATCATTCACCCGCCTCTGGGCCACAGTGAGACCAGCTTGGTGCCTTTGGGATGCTCCCGGGATGCTCTGTAGACAGTGGCGTGCACCCTGAATCACCTGGGATCTTGTTGCAGGGCCGGCCTTGACCAGAAGGTCTGGAATGGGCCCGAGGTTCTGCATTTCCCACGGGCTTGAGACGCCCAGCGATGCCAAAGCCGTCAGTCTGTGGGCCCCTGGAGCGGTGAGGCCCTGCACCCGTGGTTCTCTATCCTGGCCGCACCTGACCATCCTCCTTGGGGCTGCAAAAGCACCATGCCTGGGCCCATCCTGTGCCAAGCTGATTGGAACATCCAGGAATGGGCCCAGGGGCCGATGCTTTATCAGGTTCTCCAGGTGACCCCCAGGTACTGATGAGGCTGAGAACCACACGCTGTCCTGTCAGAGCATCTCCCCTCTCACTGCTCGGCTGCCAGTGTAAATACACACTCCCACTCCAGGAATAGCCTCGTGACTACGTACAGGGTGGACGCGCCCCTCCAGCCCCACGTAACTTCACTGGGGTCAGGCCAGTGAGGGCGAGCCCGGGGCCCTGGGCCAGCCCACCTTCTCCTGTGCTCTCCCTGGTATCTCAGCACTAGCCAGCCCCGGGAGGAGAGGGCTCATTCTCAAGCCCACCCGCCAAACAAGGCACTGGTGTCTTCCCTGGTCACCGACTGGCCCACCAGGTTTGAGGAGCTCCTCCAGCCTTAGACGCTGGAGTTTGCTTTGTTCGAATTTTATTATTTTATTAAACTGCATCTTTACTTATCAACTCTAAGTCTACCTTTAGTTATAAATGATACTATTCTGTTAGCAGTATTTCTTCTTCACTGTGAAGGCTAACCGGAAAGGGCCAAATATCTGGGTTCGGAAGCATGCGTGACACTTGAGAGCTGGCCTCAGCATAGCTGACAAATTCCAGTTGTACTGGGCTGTGCTTCCAACTTGAAGGAGCCACAGCCCCTTCCCTTACACGTGAGATGCTAATCATCAACTCCGCAACACCAGGGGAACGGCCACTGCAGGGAAAATCTGAGACAAATCCACCTGATCTCAGTCAGCCACACCGTCAGCCAGCCTTGGGACAGGGCTGGTGAGGAGTCACACTGCATGGGGCCCTGGGCCGTGGTCCCCAAGAGGCTGACGGTTCCCTGCTGCACTCTCTGGGGCAAGGGTATGGAAGGAAGGTCAACTTCCTCAAAGACAGTGGGTCGTGATTTATAAAGATCAAGTGGGCCCCTGTGAAGGGGTCAGAAGAGCAGAAGGGCACTAACATAAATATGCATTTTCCTCCCTGTTCTCAGAATGCAGGCAGCAAGACGAAATACAGGAAGAGTCACGTAAGAGGGCGCCTGGGTAGCTCAGTTGGTTGGGTGACTGCCTTTGGCTCAGGTCATGATCGTGGAGTCCCGGGATCGAGTGCCACATCGGGCTCCCTGCTCAGCAGGGAGTCTGCTTCTCCCTCTGACCCTCCCCCCTCTCATGCTCTATCTCATTCTCTCTCTCAAATAAATAAATAAAATCTTAAAAAAAAAAAAAAGTCACGTAAGAGATGCCAAGGGCTTATCTGCAGGACACAAGGCAGTGATAAAAACACTAGGTGTTCGGCTTGTACAAAGAAATGGGTTATATTCCACTGCCCGTATGTCTTTTAGGTCTGTGGGCACCTCCCAGACTAAATCCTGAGCGTGGGGAGGTGGGTAGGCATGGAGCTGTTCTAACCCCTGGGCTTGGTATCTGCAGCTGGGCACAGCCAGGCTCCTCATTTTCCCTGTGCGAACTTGGACGTCACAAAGACAGTGAAATCAATCACCCGCTTCCCTGGAAGTCCCGTGGCCTTCTAAATTCCTAGGAGGTAGCCAAGTCAATCTCTAATTGGGTTAGAGCAATGCCAGGAACAGACAGAGACCGTCAACTGTCTCTGCTGACAATCAGGCTGCCGACGCGAGCACAGAGGCTCCCCGTCAATGCCCTTGAGAAAAGCTAGGGTGGGAATACCTCCCAAAAAAGTCAGGCCCTGGATGCTCAGGCAAGACGCCCACCCGGCGCTCCGACTTCTCACGACAGAGAACCAGGGGCAGGACTGAGCAAGGAAGGAAAGGGCTCAAATCCCAGAGAGACAAAGCACAAGATCAAAGTCTCCAAATCCAACCTACAGAACTATTACAACAAGGAAGATCCAACCGCCTCTGTAGGGAAAAGAGTCACGGGACACTGATGTCACCTAAAACGGGCACAGGTGTGGGTCTTCTGGGACAATCTCGTACCTGCTCTAGGACAGTGCCAGTTTGGGGGCACCTCCTATCCCAGGGTCAATCCGTGTGGCTCCTGGGAGGGTGGGCCCTTCCGAGCTCCAGAGCACTTTGTCCCCCTGACCAGGGGCAGGGACAGGCACATGGCCCAACGGAGCCAGACTGCAGGGCCCCGGAGTTCGGCTGAGACGGATGACAAAGAGCCCCTCCCTCTGACTAGGGAGGCAAGCGTACAAGGACAAAGCCGGGAGCTGGCTGGGGCCCATCCTGCCATGGCGTGGGCAGAGCCAAGGAGGAAGAGACCAGGGAAAGTAGCAGGGACTGTCCCTGTCAACTGCACTTGGACCTACTGTGCCTGAAACTAGGGACTTTCTCCATCAAGCGAGTAATAAATGCCTTTGTTGGCTTGAGCCAGTCTGAGAAGGGCTTCGGTCACCAGTAAGTGAAAAAAGTCCTGATTAATGCTTCCTTCCCCCAAATAAAGCCTGTTTTGAAGTTTTCCTTATTAGTAATTTCGATCACCTGACCCAGCTTGATCGCATTTTGTGATTTTTCCACCCCGTGAGATTTCCAAGGAGATTGTGGGAGATGGACCTTGAGAAGGACAAGCTGGCTGGTGCCTCCTCTGAGGACCCTCCCCTCCGCAGGACTCAGCCACAGCCCGGCTCTCAGAGGGAGACCCAGCCGAGCCCCAGTGGCTTGCCCACCCCTCCGTCCAGCTGGAGGCTCTTCCAAGGGCTGCTTTGCCCTAGGCAGGCCTTGCCCTTTAGTGGCTGCCTCGGGCCCGAGCCAGGGACTGCCTGATAGCCTGCTCCCTCTTCACTGATGGTCAGAAGGGCCCTGATGAGAGGCTGGCTGAGGCAATACACAGGGAGGCTAGCCCAGGGCTGCAAGGCGGACTACCTGCATGCCCCAGCCAGATACGGTCTTTTAACCCAGGCCACTTGGATATTCTGAGAGCAAAGTCATGCTCAGAAGACTGCAGAGGCAGCCCGCAGGGAGTGCTGAACAAGGCCTGGGCTCTGCCTCTCACCAAGGGAGTGGACCTTAATCCCCTTCTCAGCCCCTCCAGGTGATGCTGTCAGAAGATGGCATTATGACCATGTCTTCTACCCACCTGCCGAGAGGCAGAGTTTCCGGAGCTCGGTCACACCCACAACTGATTCATGTTCTGATACTCCCTGGGAATGAAGGGGGCATCGTGCCCACTTTACATGGTTTGGTGGGCAAGGCACAGATCTCTCACCAGCCCGGGCCCCTGGCTTCCAGGCCCCCCGCCCTCACCTGTGAGAGGGGCGAGAGGTTTCCATCCACCCACGAGGGTACCGTGGGCAGTGAACAGCCGCAAAGGGCTTGTAGTAAATGCTCGAGGATGTTAGTTGCTGTTACTATCCTCACAAGCGGGGAACGTGGGTGTCTCAAAAGTCATTCTGCTCTAAGTGTCTGAGATCTGGCGCCCCCTGTACCAGTCCTCACTGAGCATGACATCTGCAGGAAATATGGGGCACCACCCCCAACCAAAGACCACTTCCCTCCCCCCCCTCCCCCCCCCCCCCCCCCCCCCCCCCCCGGCGGGGACAGGAAGGGGAAGAGCCAAGGAGAAGCATCACTTTCTGGCCCACAGGCAGCTCCGAGGACTCCAGACTGTGTTCTCTGCCCCGCCCAGCATCCAGCCCTTTTGAGGGCTTTGAGATTTTTCATCCGGATCATTCACCCCCAATTCAAGTCATCATCTTAACAAACAAAGCCAACTGCCTAGAGTACCAGGCTCATCTTCTGGCAGAAATGCGGTGCCTCAAGGCCAAACCCACGCGGAGCGGCGTCAGGGCCCTGGGATTTGAAGCCACAGTGTGACGGGCACGTGGACGCAGAACTTTCTGGGTCTGAGTCCTGGCCCTCCAGTTTCTAGTTCCCTCACTTCTCTGAACGAAGTTCGTCCCCCTATAAATACAGTACCTGATTCCTAGGATCCAAGGAGTTGACAGGTGCAAACCTCCTGCTCAGTGCCCAGGACACACAAGCCCTAGGTAAGGGTGCGAGCTCCCCATCACGGGGAGCGTGGGGGGCACCTGCTTGACGGTCTAAGTGCGGCGCCCATCTTCCTCCTCTCTTTTTGGCCCTGGACGCCTCGCCTGGCCATGCCAGGGGTTTGCTCTCTGATTATCACACAGCCCTGGGGACTCCGGAGGCTACGGGGGATTTCGCCCAGGCAGCCCCTGTACGGCAACCTTACCGATACGTGGCCACCTCCAGGCTGAGGCCGGTCTTCACCTGCACGAGCTCCTGGTAGTCCCGCAGCCGGTCAGCCATGGCCAAGGTGAGGGCCGCCTTCTCATCCTCCAGGCAGGCAATCACTCTCTAAAGAGGAACAAAGGGCTTTTAGATCAGAGGGCTGGAGCTCCGATTGGTCAAACTGAAGGTACCAACGGTTCAGGATGCAAAATGGAAAAAAAAAAATCTCTAGGCTTATTAAAGATGCAATCATTAGGGGCGCCTGGGTGGCTCAGTCGTTAAGCGTCTGCCTTCGGCTCGGGTCATGATCCCAGGGTCCTGGGATCGAGCTCCGCATCGGGCTCCCTGCTGGGCAGGAAGCCTGCTTCTCCCTCTCCCACTCCCCCTGCTTGTGTTGCCTCTCTCGCTGTGTCTCTCTCTGTCAAATAAATAAATAAAATCTTAAAAAAAAAAAAGATGCAGTCATTGTAAGGGTGATTTTAAATACAGTATTTCTTCCCCATAGAATTTTTTTTTAATTATTATTATTGCACATGGACAATTTTGGCAGGACACTGGCTGTTCTGTTCCTACTCTCTAGGGAGAAGGAATGGTTTGAAGTTCATGGAAGCATCTCTGCTGTTCAGACATCATCAGCTGCTTAGGAAAGTCAACACCTCACCCCGGTCAACGAGGATGCTATTCAAAGTAAGCCCCGACCAGAACGAAGGGCTTCTGCAATATCTAAAACGAAGTCCCTCCAATTTGAAGCAGAATTTCCCCCACACTCATGATTTCCCCCAACACTAAGCAGGTACACTCACAGAACTCTTTGCTTCACCTAGAAAAGCTACACGGATGAAACAGGAATATCTTCCGGGCATAAATGTCAATGCGGACCAGGATATAAATCTTTCTTGACTGTACTTAGCGGACGTCGTTAATGAGCACTCCCTCCTCACGTGTTCACGTCATGCTCCCAGCCCTTAGGGCACGTCCACTCACACCTGGCTAATTATGTCTGTCCGTCTGTCCATCTCTCTCTCTCTCCCCCCTGGGCTGGGAGACACTGAAGGGCATGGCCTGCCACCTCGGGCATCCCCCCTCTCTAGAAAAATGCCCATCTCCTAGAAGTCGCACAGCACACAATCGGTGAACTGGACTTGAAATGATCAAGAGAATGCCTGCTACCCCCTTAAAAATGTGCTATTTTAAATCGACAGTATCTTTCAGTTAATAACCACAGTGGCTTCATCGGTACCATTTTACAGTTTTGCATTACTCTCTGCTACAGTTTTGCATCAACACTTTTTAGTTGCTCTGGGGAATAATTAACTGAGCAAATATTTAAACACTGAAATGAGTCCATATTCTCTAACTTCTGGTTTGTAATGGAAAACAGCCTTATTTCTGAATACAATTAACTAAACTGGCTACATTTTTAGACATTTATCTTTGTGGAATTCAAGTAAGACAGTCTATTTCCATTCCTCTTGTAATCCCTCCAGCAAAGGCACCAGGCTAAAGGTCCGCAATAAATACGTAAGGTCTGCAAAACCAACGAATAAACTAAGATCTCACACTGGGTCCACCATTTTAAAAGATGCACAATCAGCATGTAAATAATCCTGCCTCCCTAAGAGTTCTCTATCAGCTAATGATTGTTGCTAAGGTTCTCTTTGTGTATGTAAAGCGTGCTCAAAACAAAAATTGAAACCATTTAGCTTTTAAAGCAAAGGAGTAAATTTAAGAACCTCTGGGTGGTATCCCAGAGTAGATCTATGTTAATATCCTCCAAAACTGGCATTGTAAGTAGACAGTGAGGTTCGCCAACGCAGACCATTTCAGTCTTGATTTCAGTTGACAGGGTTGCCAAAATTTAACCATGACATTCAGATATTCTATAGTTAAGTCTTGGTGTTAAAATCCATTTTAGAGGGAGTATAATGCCAGGTCTAAGGTTGGAGTATAAGCCATAAACATCCAGAGATTACTCCTTCCTACTGCAAGAAACGCAACCTGAATATCAACACTTGGAAATCTGTACTAATTTTTTTCTTTAAAGAGAACTTCAATTATTGTTACACTGCTTAGAAAAAAAAAGTATCACGTGCACTCAATTCTCTATCCACAAACCTCCTGAGCAGGTCAGGATCTCCCCGTCGTGCCAAACCAGAGGTAGGCACAAAGATGCTCTCTCTTCCCAGAGGGCACAGAATAGGTCTGCACCCCACAAAATACGAGGGGGAAAAAAAAAAACCCAAACTGTGTTGCAGTTAAAATAAGTATAGTTCCAACCACATTTCCGTGTGATTCAACTCTCCTGAAACTGTCACAGGAAAATTACTTGACTTTTGGAAGCGGGAACGTAAGTACAACTTATTGGCTCTTAACAGTCTCTGCAGAGACTGTAACCGATCCTGCTGGTTGAAGCAAGCTTCAACTCGGCTTTGACTTTGCCAGAAGTTTCCAAACCGTGGGCCGGGCCAGAGGTACTAGAGCAAGAGACCCGGCATGCTGATTCTAACCAAGCAAAAACAGTCCCACCTAATGTTATAAAAGCTGGGGAGAGAGGTCACCTTTTTTAGTTGCTATTTCGGGAACTTCTGGGTGGTATCACAAGTGATGATGCAACGGAGGTCTGTACCAGGGAGAGCGTGCTGGGGTGTGGATCCAAAGAAAGCTCCTTCTCGTCACCCAACGGGAGCTGCTCTCTGCTGAGCAAGTCCCACGGCCAAAACAGGAAGAGCCTGCAAATGTCACAGTCACTCAGAATCCTGACTGGTAGAGCTTGAGGGAATTTAAATACTGTGATAACCTCACCGAGACACAAAACCTCAATGTATTTGGAATAACAAGCATTAGTGGAATGCTAAGTTTTTCTAACTCCAGTCCAGATAATACTCTCAACTCCAGACTCAGAATTATATCTTATAATACCAGGTGGGCATCTAAGAGGCATCTCAGAGTGAACTCTGATCTCCCACCCAAGTCGGCCAAATCTCCTGCTCCCAACTCCCTTCAGCAAAGAGCACTCCCTTTTTTCAGTGGCTCAGGCCACAAGCCCTGGAGTCGACTTGGGATTTCTCCCCCTCCCTTCCACTGCATCCATCCGCAGACGCTGGTGGGCTTCAACCTCAGAGGAGAGCTCCCTCTCAGCCCCTCATTGCTGCCCCTGGTCCAAGCATCCGGCATGTCCTGCCTTGATTAGTACACAGGTCCCCTAAAAAGCTCTCCCTGCTTCCGCTCTTGTCCCACACAGCTCCCAGAGAAACTGCATTTAGATACAGTCGGGTCACCACTCACCTCTGCTCTGAGTCACCGAGCGGCTCCCCATGCTGCTCAGAGCCAAAGCCCAAGTCCTGTACAGGCCACTCTCGCCCCCCCGCCGTCACCCCGCCCCAGCCACACCTGCCTCCGGGACACCGTGCGCCGTTTCCATCTCAAGACCTTTGAAGGCAAGGGATTTTCTGTGTTTGGTTTTGTCCACGGCTTTATCCCCAGCACTCCAGAGCCAGGCTCGGCACATGACGTGCTCAGTAGTGGTCGGATGAATGAGTGAACCGAATGTGGGTACCCTGTGAGCTGTTTTTATGACCCCTGTTCCGCAAATGGGGAAACGGAGACACAAACGGGGGCAGAACCAGAATTCAGGCCCAGGTGGGGCGGCTAAGCCATCCCCCTTCCAGTCAAAAGAAAGTTCTTTCAGTCACATTTTGGGGACTTGGACACCTTTTATAGTCAGCCTCAAAAGGCTAAGAGCTCAGTTTCATAAGCAAAAATCTCAGTGTTTATAGGGGTAAGGCTAGAGTCAACCAAAAATGTCTTGAATTTTTGTCCAAACTTCTTCCGGCAAACTGGGAGACAGGGTGTATTACTCTGGCTTCAAGTGATCTTGGATGTCAGTTCAGCAAACCTCTCTGGCAGATCTGGGGGGTGGGGCCTAACACATAGGCCTTAGGGGAAGAACCACTTTTCCCAGAAAGAGTGTCCCAGCCGTCATCTGGTTCTCTTGGGCTGCCGAGGAGGCCCCGAACCAGGAAGGCAGTGGGCACTGAGTAGGGGAGGGGAGAGTTCCCACTAAACCACAGGGTACCCAAAAAGTAAATGAAACACATCTGACCCGAAAACTATTCTGACAACACCCAGCTGGGAGGGTCAAAAAGTATTTTAGGGCTTCCGATGGATGGGGGCCCTCTGCGCTAGCCCTTAGGAAGCACAATTACCATTGTTCTCTGAAGGCAGAGAGAATCCTGGTTAAACGTTTCTCTTTGATGAAACAGAAGAGAGGAAATGTTGGGTCCTTTTTTAGTTGCTCAGACACTGGCACCTGAGGAGAACCCTGGCTTAGCTACTTACCCACTAGGTGACCTATGTGCCTCAGTTTCATCATCTGTGAAATGGGGCTAATATAGTATCCACCTCATAAGATCGCGCTGAGGACTAAGAGTGAATACATGTGAAGGGCCTGGTTCCTGGGGTACCTGGCACGTGAGAAGCACTTGATAAAGGCTAACTCTTAGTAATGAAACATTTACTAAAGTATATTAGTTAAACCCGGTTTTATGATATTTTCAGTCTCCCCAGAACAAGCTCCTGTAGAACTTGAAGAAATCAAGGGCTCGGGGTTAAATCATGGATACTTACTCTTTAACAAAACTCCTGGTATTTTTACCCTTTAAAAAAAATACTCATGGTTTGGTGTTGAATCTTTGGGAATGCAATTTGAAATTTGGTGGCTTTAAAACTAACTGGGGAAAGATTTGAGCTACGGATAAGGGAACATTCAGTGTGATGAAACCTACACAAATTGGAAGTGAAAAAAATTCCAAGTCCTGTCGACATTCCTTGCTCCCTACTTTTACGGCAAAGAAGCAAATTCCAATGAGAGAGGTATCACCAGGCAGACTATTGAGGGTGGGGTCCTAGTCCCCATCAGGTGCAGCCCCCCCAGCTCTGTGTCAGAGGGCGGGACAGTGATGGCGACTGCACATCCCAAGCCCACACCTCTGCTGTTTCTATATTGTCTAGAGGGGGGATCAGTTGGCCGCCCCGCCTGGGCCTGTCTGCCCCCGTTTGTGTCTCCGTTTCCCCATTTGCAGAACAGGGGTAATAAAAACAGCTCACAGGGTACACACATTCGGTTCATTCATTCATCCGACCACTACTGAGCACGTAGAGTGCCGAGCCTGGTTCTTGAGTGCTGGGGATAAAGCAATGGACAAAACCAAACACAGAAAATCCCTTGCCTTCAAAGGTCTTGAGATGGAAACAGCGCATAGTGTCCCGGAGGCAGGTGTGGCTGGGGTGGGGTGACGGGGGGGCGGGGAAGAGTGGCCTGTACAGGACTTGGGCTTTGTCTCTGAGCAACATGCTGTTTCTATCTGTTCATATCTGAGGTTGCACTAAGATTTAGTTAGGGGGGAATGGGTCCTGAAAAAGAACCCTGTGACCAGAGCTTCAGGGTCCGAAATGAGCCAAGCGAGTTCCGACTACAAGGGAATGGTGAGGATTTGGCCCACCCAACACACCTCAAAGAAGCAGATTCCGAACCTTCTGGCACAGCTCAGGCCCTCGGGGCGGTAGCAGCGGTTCCAGGCACTTGTTTTGGGTTAAAAGCCCCACGGAAGTCTCTTTTACACTAAGCTGCTATTTCACTTCTGCTCAACAGAGCATGGGGCCCTGTGGAACTAGCCTCTCTGACCCTCATCATGGGCGAGGGAAGCACTCTGGAGTCTAGAATAAGTGCTGGAAATCAGCACACACTTCAGCCTGTCCCTGTCCTTGCTCCATCTACAACCCCGGGCTGGGGTGGGGGTGGGGGGGTGATTTTGAAAATTATGACGCAGAGGCCCAACAAAACCCACATTCCAAACAATTTCGTATGGTAGTGCTTTAGAGGATTGCCCATCTAGACTCCAGCTCTTTGAATACTGAAACCCCAAGGCAGTGCTCAGGACCTAGGAGTAGTCAATAGATATTGGCTGATTATTTGTGGACACCTGTTACATCACCACAGTCCTCAAGGCCAAAGCCACTGTGTTCCCTTTACTCCCTGTGTTGTTTTTTTTTTTTAAAAAAAAGCACACAATCCTTCTACCACAAATCTTTAACTCCAAGCTACAAATTATCCCCTTAAAATATTTCTGAATCTGTGAGGGTGTTATTGTAAACTGTCGCCCTGAGAACCACGGAGAGTACGATTTGGGGGTATTTTTCAATTCTGGCCTCCAGGAGGCAGGCCCAGGGCCAAGCCTAGTACTGAACGGGGACAATAATCGGCCACAGGTGTCACCCTGTCAGTGTCAGAGGTTTGGGCTTCACTTCTCTGAAATAGTAACTGTTTCTATTACCGCGCACTTTTATAGTACCCGTTTATATTACATCCTGCCACAGGGACCAGCCCCTTTCCACAACGTTTCCACTACCCAGAGACCCGATGTCTGCTTGTGAGACGGTGAGAAAAACATCTCCCGTGGAGCTCGTTTCTGCATGAAGGTGACTGCCCCTCCCAAGAAGACACAAGGCAGTGGCCCAGAGAGCCAAACCGGCTGCCTCCTCCTGGGAAATCACTCTGGCAAAATAAAAACCGTTTAGGAAACTATTTAAGTTTTCCCCAGGGCGGCCCTAGAGTCAAGGGGCTGTCATTTTGAATGGCTCCCGGTCAGGACTTGACATTGTCGAGACACCTCCCAACACCGAGACCTAGCCGAGAAGGAACGAGCCGTCGCTTCTGGAAGTCAGAGGGGCTTCTTACTGGACTTTTATGCGAATTCGGTCCACGAAGCACAGGAAATTGAAAGAGCGCCTTAGAGCTGGCTGGGTCCTGGGTCTTTTGTCAGCATGCACCCGCTCATGGCAAGATCTAAAGAAACGGACAACCTAACAAGATGACAGGGACGGGACTCTCCGCCGGGACCTGCCACCCTAACCCGCAAACCGCGCTCCTCTTCCACGGCTGGTGAGACGCCGGGACCCCGAGGCCCCGACGCAGAGCTGGGGGGGGCCCCTTCAGAGCCCAGCCGCCGCGGGGGGGGGAACCGTTCGGGCCCCCTCTGGCCCGGCCCCACCCGTCGGCCGCGCCACGCCCCGGGCGCACGCAACGGCTCCAGGGAGCCCCGCCGCTCCCCCACCCTCACCGCAGGTCGCGGCCCGGGGTGGGGCCGTCCCCGCGCACCGACCTGCCGTTCCTCCGCCTGCAGCCCGTACTCCTCCTGCACCCGCCGCAGCTCTTCCTCCAGCAGCGCGCGCAGCTGCTCCAACTCGAGCGCCTCGCGCCGCAGCGCCTCCGCCTCCTGCGCGCACAGCCGCGTCTCCTCCTCGGCCTCGCGCCGGCTCTCCTGGCCGCGCCGCAGCGCCTCCTCCAGCTCGCGCACCTCGTCCTCGTACAGCTGCACCGTCTCCCGCCACGACTCGGCCACCAGCAGCGCGTAGCTGTCGTGCACCTCCCGCAGGCGCGGCGGGGGCGCGGCGGGGCCGGGGGCGCGGGCGCGGTAGCTCATGGTCAGACGGGCGGCGCGCGCGCGCAGCTCCCGCACGTCTCGCTCGTGGGCCGCTTCCAGGCCGCGGCGCTCGGCCTGCAGCCGGCCCAGCAGCGCCTCGAGGGCGGCGCGCGCGCCCAGCTCCTCCTGCAGCTCGCGCCGCTGTGCGCCCAGCTCGGCGTCCAGGCGGCCGCGGGCGGCGCGCTCCTCCTTGCCCAGGCGCTGCAGCTCCCACAGCTCGCGCCGCAGCGCATCGCGCTCGCCCTCGGCCAGCGCCGTGGCCCAGCTCAGCTCGTCCAGCTGCTGCCGCAAGCCGCGCGCCTCCTCTGCGAAGCGCGCCTGCCCCTCGGCCCACAGGCCCTCCTGCCCGCGCCGGCCGCGCAGCTCCTCCTCCAGGAGCAGGTTTTCGCGCTCCAGCTCCCGCACCCGGCACACGTAGTCGTAGAGCCGGGCGTTGAGCTCCTGCAGCTCGGCCCTCTCGGGGCCCGTGTGCAGCCGCCAGGACAGCATCTTGCTGGGCGTACGGGGCTCTGCCGGCCGGCCTGTTCCCTCCTGCCCTGGTCTTATCCCCTCTTCTTAGCCGCTCCGGCCCCGCCGCTGCCCGGGAGGCCCCGCAGACTGGGGCGGGAGCCGGCGCGCCGCGGCACTTAGCGGACCGGGAGGGCGGGAGTGGGCGCGGGCCGCGGCCTCCAACCAATCAGAGCGCGGCCCGGCGCGGCCACTGCGGCCGGACGGCGCCCCCTGCTGGAATGACAGCGGCGCCGCGCGGGCTCCCGGCCCCGGGACCCGGGCGGCCTGGAGTCCCGGTCTCCGGCAGTAGGCTAACAGCCCGGCGGGTGGCTCGCTCGTTGGGCAGGGATCGGAGAAGGGATGCCGGGGACAGGTCCCAGTTGCTGCCCCGACACGCGCACCGGGAGCACCCGGGTGTCCTGGCGCTGTTGGAAAGAAACAGAAGCCTCCAGTAAGTGAGATAGAGCTGGTCACTTATGGGAGACTTCTCATCCGCGGTCCTGAAGATCCGAGGCCGTTCTATTTTTTAAAAATTATATATATACATATAACATACACATATAAATCTAGTATACACACATACACATACACAGATGCACATTAAATAGTATATTTTAGCTTAATACGTAAATACATATTCATTTGCCAGTGTTTCAATGCACAGCCAAGACTTTTCTTTTGATATGGGTTGACTCGGGGTCCACGTCTGCCTCATACAAACTACCCCTAAAGGACATAGTCTACATTTTCAATATCAGTTTCTTTCTTTCAGAGTAAGAACTAAAAGAGATTGTGAAGTGCTCCCAGCGCAGAATTTTCCGAGACACCTCATATCTCCCCGAACTTTTACAGTTATCACCACTACACCTCATGAGACAGGTGTCTTTTTTCCAACGTCGTGCCTCAACTTAACTGTCATGGAAACCACTGCTCTTTTGCACGCTTGTGTTTCATTAGTTTTCATGACAGTTATTCAAGTTACAAATGACAATTAACCGGTACTGGTGGCATTGAGGGGTATGAGAACACACACACCTGGCCCTTGGTTGGAGGACCCCTGGACTGGTGGGGACAGAAATGCTTAGGGGAGGCCTGGAGAGTCCCTCACCGATGGCAGATATTTTGCAGTTGGCATGGAAAGGTGGGTTAGTCAGCAAGTTGGTCCAAAGAAGTTCCCTTGAGACACCTTTCAGGGCTTTCCTTGCAACAGGCATGAGTCTCCAACCACAAATGGAGCAGAAGTGGCCCTCCGTTTTTCTAGAGAACTCATATCACAGACCCCATTCTGCAGGTGGCAGAAGTGAGTATCCTTCCGTTTAGAGCTCTTCCCCGTTTCTGCCAGGGCTAAGTTGGGGGAGGAGGGAAAGGGGCCGGGAGTGGGGCCGGGACTCTGGACCCCCGTTACTGTTTGTCCTTCTCCCTTTCACCCGGGCGCACATCACACCCGGCCCTTGCTGATCAGACCACACAGCTGCTACAATGTCATCACCCAGACCTGTCTGGGGGTACCACCAGTAATGAGCATCTTTTCGGGACCACACTGGGACACCAGGGGACTATGAGGAAGCTCAAGCTCGCACAGTTGCCTGGACTCAGCAGCCATTTATTTTTAATTCTTCAACCTGCCAGGCTAGCAGCAGTTCTGTGGGCCCACCTCTCCTGGCTTGGCAGCATAGGACGGCCTTCTCAGGGACTGGTGGGTCTTCCAGCACGATGCTTTGCTCTGACTCATTAGGTTTTCCTTGCCCCAATGCCCATCAGGATCGTAGAATTTGAAAGTCAAAACTTTCCCCCTACTTCTGCTCTAAATCCTGCCCTTGAGAAATGACTGCTATAGGATGCAGTGGCCTAGTTTGGGAAAAGAGGTATAGGGCAACAGGAAATAGCAAGAGAATAGGAAGAGTATCCCTGGTTAATTCCTCAAAATAATGTCCTGCTGCATCACACTTAATTCTCACAAAACTGTAGCTCAGAGAAGTTGAGCAACTTGCCTGAGGACACACAGTCCCTAAATTGGGGAACAGAAGTATTAGAAGTTGTGACCACAGGAGCAAACTTGAGCGGGCAGGGTCTGGCCAGGAAACAGAGGCACACTCAAAGGAAAGGGAATGATTAATGGGATGTAATGAGAAGGCTATTTACAAAGGCGTAGATGGGATGCAATGCATCAGGAATTAGCAAGAGCTAGAAGTCAAAAAGCCATTAGCACTCTAGGGGGCCGGAGGGAAAAGTGTTGGCTGAGCCTGGAGGAGCCTGGAGCTCTGGAAGGGAGGGCCCTAGGGGAGAATGAGCTGCAGAATGCATCCCAGGAGGGAGCAGGTGAAGAAAAGCCTAAACCTCTCTTCCTGCCCTCCCATCTCCTGCCGGTGCCTCTCATTGTGGAACCGGAAGTCACCGGGGCCTAGCAGTGGTGTGCTGGGGCCAGCTCCTACCGGCTTGTGAGAGCCAAATGTTAAGCTTTCAGGAATTTTGTGAGCCAGTTGTTAAACACAGCCATTGTTAAAAATAAAATTGTAGTTTACCGCACGCCTTGAAGGAGAGCGGCAATTTTCTCAACCTCCCGGCAGGGGGCGCTGCGTGAGGATGGCGAGCCTAGAAAGGGCTCCAGGGACGCTTCTGTCAAAGGTCCCCTCCTCCAGTCTGTGGACGGGAGGCAGAGAGGACACCCAAGAAGAATTTCACGGAGAGCCCTAGAAATGGGGTGGGGCTTGCGTAGGGCTTGGGAAGTGGGAAGAGCAGGCCTTTTCTCTACTTGGAGGACTGGAGCAGTGCCCCGGGGCCCATGGGCCTCCCAAGCAAGGTGGAACAATGCGGGGGAGGAGGATTAATGGATGTCCCTAAAGGAGTTCATCCCACCCTCAATCCATTGCCCGAGGGGAGACAGAAAGCCAAAACAGAAAGGTCTTCCTGGCGAGTTTTAAGAGCTTGAGGAGGACGCCTGACTAGACCAAAACGGGGAGGAGATCCTAAGGAATGGCAGAGCAGGAGGCTGAGGGAAGTTGGGGTTCCCAGGAAACAAGAAAAGTTTCCCTAAGGCGGGCGAGGGAGGAGAGAGGAAAGCACAGTAGTTCCTAGAGAGCTTCTGGAGGGAGGAGCCTTGTACCCCTTTCTGGGCAGAGCTCCAGGGAGACAGCAAAATTCCAGCTATATTGTGAGCTCCAAGAGCCGGGACCTTGTGCCCAACTCCCCAGGTGTACCTTTGGGGGGGATGGCAGGCCTGAGGGGAAGGGCTGCGGTCACGGCCAGGAAAGGTTTTTGGAGGTGCCCACCCCCAGCATGAGTGAGGCCAGGAGCCAGAGCACCCCCCCAGAAGTGGCAGAGGACCTGAGGGAGCCATTCAGACAGAGAAGGGGTGACTTCAGCAGGGCCACAACCAGCTTGAAGATGCCTTTTGTACAAATTAGAAAAAGGTGGATGAAAGACTCAGAGGTACATGGCCTGGCCAGTGAAGAGTCCTTTAGTGCAAAGAAAACGTATCCCTTCCTCAGGGTAGAAGTGGTCCTACACTTACCTCCACAGCTTAGCAAGCACAGCACAGGCTGGAATTCACTTCTGCTCACCCCATCGGCCAGGTGTGTTTAATGCAGTGCACAACCCACTCAACTGTCCATGGCGGCCCACTGTCCCAGCCTCTGCCTGGGTGGATGAAGACCAAGGGCTCTATGGGATGGAGTGGAAAGTTGGTGGATGCCAGAACAGACTGGTGACACAAGAACCAGGTAGCCCCCAACCTCAGTGCCTTGGCACTGGGTAAGTCCTCAATAATTCTAGTGCAGCCCCCAAGGAAGGAGGATAGAACCTTGAACTGATAGAGGTTGAGTTTTCATCACCCTGGTGGGAATCGGGGCCCTAAATAGAAATCAGATTGAAATATAGAAAAAAAAAAAAAAACAGATCTGTTGTTGTTCCCTGTACACCCGAGTTTGGTCTAGGAGGCACACTTGCCACCCTGCAGGGTTGGCTAGGTAGCAAATGAAGCATGTGGGGTGGGGGAAACGCAGTGGGGCTGGGCTGGGCACAGGGGTGTAGAGTAGCCTGAGCTGCTTCATGTCCTGGCTCTTACTACCAGCATGACTTTGGGCACCACCACCATGTCACAATGAAGACAGAGTAACACATGGAGAGCCTCTGGGTTGGATGAGCTAGTCCTTGCATTAGCCCTTACCATGTGCCAGGCCCAGTCCTGAGGGCTTTACGTGGATTAACAGCAACCTATGAAGTAGGTACTAGCGACTCTATTTTAACGATGAGGAAATTAAGCCACAGAGCCTTCCACTTTGCTCAAAGCCCTGCAAGTAAAAAGTAGCAGGATTCGAACCCTCCCTGCCCCTACCCATTCCACTAGACTGCCTGTTGTATATACTGGGTGATGCTTGTCGCACGGTGCCTGGTGCACAGCACCCAGAAAATATCGGTCATCCTCCTGGGCCAAGTCCCGAAGCCCAGGAATGACACAGAAGCTCATAGCCAGGGATATGTCTCAGGAAGGCCAGGAAGAGATGCCCAGGACCCAGGGGGCCAATGCAGGGCACAGACAGCACAACAGAGTCCACAGCTGAATGGGGCTAGGGGGCAGGAGAGCAGGCATGGACTAGTCTTTGAACTTCCCAGACTCCATTTCTTCATTTGTAAGGTGAGGATAACTCTTCCCTCACAGGATCGCTACAGAGGCTAAATAAGAGACTCTAAAGGCTTTCGGGACTCGGCCATCTTTTTTTTTTTTTTTAAGATTTTTATTTATTTAACAGAGAGAGACACAGCGAGAGAGGGAACTCAAGCAGGGGGTAGTGGGAGAGGGAGAAGCAGGTTTCCCGCGGAGCAGGGAGCCCGGTGTGGGGCTCGAACCCAAGACCCTGGGATCATGACCTGAGCCGAAGGCAGACACTTAACGACTGAGCCACCCAGGCGCCCCAAGGGACTCGCCCATCTTTATGCTCTACTTCATTCAAAAAACGATTTGCATCCAGCCACTCTTGCTTGGAGCCCAGAGTGTTCCCCAC